CTTAGACCCTGGAGGATTTGCAACCATCTGCGGTCCAGGTTACAGATTGGCAGTATGAAAGTGTAAATCAGATTGTTTATCATGCAGAGGAGGTGGCATGTAGTGAAGCAGCCTACTTCCTTTGCCTGGTAAAATCCTCTCTGACATGCACAGAGTGTCTTCTGCTGGGAGAAGCTGGGATCACAGCCAGTGGGACCACCACCCCACCCATTCCACAGAGCTGTCTGGGGGAGCAGGCTGGCTGGGCTCCTGGGAATGGCCAAGGGTGGCTGTCATCAGTGCTAGCAAGCCACCCACCTGCCTACCCTGCAGCTCTGTCCCTGCCACGAGTGCTGGGCAGTTCTCCTCTGCAAAGGTAGAAGAGGTGGTATTGCCTTGCCACCTGAGACCAGGACATCACTCTGTGGCATCAGTCTGATGGTCCCCACAGCAGAGCTGGGTCTGGCACAGACCCCCAGAGCTCCCCCAAAGCTACGAGTAGTGGGGACAAGAGAGGGTTAAGCTGTCAGCTCTGTAATGTTAAACAGGTGTCAAAGGCACCTCCATATATCTGCAGATTGAAATCAAATTCTTTGCAGTATAAAAAGATAAATTACCCAGGCGATTCCCGCCTCATCCCACTCATCAGGCCAGCGCCAGACGGCAAGCAATTTTTTTTTTTAATGTGCTAACGACCTAATCAAGCAATCAAGTCGGAGAAGATTGCGGAGTGACCCCGAGCATCCATCTGCCAGCGAGACCCCGACATTCATTTCCATTCTGCCGTGTACTTTCCGGGAAAGGGAGGGAGAAAAATAGAAAAGAAAAAAAATCCTAAACAAATTAACACCCAATTTTCTGTGAGTCTAATTAGTTAAATGAGGAGGTGTTTGGGGTGTCCACGGGGAGGGAGGGACTGCCTCTCGGAGAGGGGCCTGGTAACTCCATGGCATTAATTAGCGCAGGTCAATGGTGTGGTTCCCTGGGGACCAGCTGCTTTAATTTCCCGTGATATTTCAGTGCCTGAGGCCTATCGATTCAAACTGAAATTAACTTATTTTTCAATCAGGCCTGGGCTGCCCCTGGGGCTGACTCTTCCTTTGCCTCCTTCTGAATAGACCTCAAGCAATTTTTCATCTAAAGCTGATGCCTCTGCTCGGGGGG